AGGGAAAGGCTGGGGAGCTTGTTCCCTGCTCAGCTTCATAATCATAGAGCTGGGTGGGGAACAGGCTTCAGTTGCAGTGCTGGTGCTGGGAGAAAAGGATCTCTCAGCCCAAGCCCTGTGGTCATGGAGCTTGGCCTGGGAACTGTGCCAGTCAGGGTCAAGTCCCAGACCCACTGGGTGATTGAGGCATGGGGCTTGGAAAGTGCTGCAGGAGTGGGGCAGGTCCCAGCCCTCTGCCCTGATCTGCTGGTGGGGCAGTTAGCACCCTGGCTGGGTGGGGATTCTTGCTATTAGCTGCCCCACCAGCAGATTGGAGTAGTGGGCTGGGACCTGCCCCTTCACTGCAGCTCTTTCCAGGTCCCCTGCCTGGTCAGGAAGCTGGGGCTGGGAGCTCCCTGCTGCTGGGGAAGGGGGACATTGTCCCCTCCACCCCTGGCAGCAGGCAGCCCTGGCCAGGAGACAGCTATCTCCTGTCCCTGTGCTCCCTACCAGTCCCTGGTGACAGCAGGGGCCCATTGCAGGGCCTCAGGAAGTAGAAGCAGTTTGCTGCTATTAGCAGCAAATCTGCTCCTGCTTCCCTACATGTGTTGATGCCTCACGAGTAAATTGCTCCCAGATGGAATGCACGTGTAGACACACCCATTATCTTACAGAGTTCCTGTTACCAAAAGCATTATTTCTATTGTGTCTACAAGCCTTTAATGTAAACCCTTATTTTCTACCTTTCCATTTACAGATGGTATTATGTTTTTTCCTACAGGGGACAGGATAATGTCATGGGAGTTAAATATTGCTTTAGAAAAAATGATCATGTGGTTATTATTATGCCATATCTGGAACATGAATCCTTTTTGGTGAGTCTCAGTCTTCTTTTTATTTGAACAGTAAAACTTAATTATGAACAGTTGCATAATTGTAGGATTCAAATTAATCTTTCAGGACATTTTGAATACATTGTCTTTTGAAGAAGTACGAGAATATATGTTTAATCTGTTTAAAGCATTGAGACGTATTCATCACTTTGGTATTGTTCACCGTGACGTCAAGCCCAGTAACTTCCTTTACAACAGGCGGCTGAAAGAGTAAGTCTGCCCAGATGACTATTGAGCTCTCATTTGGGAATGCATGCCTTGGCAGAACATAGTAAATTAAGTTCTTGGGGTTTTTTCCCTTCTAGCTGTACAACATGTGCATAAACACGAAAGCTAAATGTATATAACTTTTCTTATTTAGTGTTTAGGGATTTCATTAGGGTGGAGGAGAAGAAATAATATAGTAAGGTTGAAAGAAATGGTCTGGATTCAAGTGGCAAAAATTGTTCTTTAAAAAAAATAACTGAATTTAAGATCACTGAATAAAACTGTAAAGTTGTTGCATGCTGTAGGGTGAAATTAATCTCAATAAAATCATTATGTTCTTGAATATTGCTAATATTAACCTTTATATTTTTGCACTGTATAGATTTTCAGTGCACTTATTGACTTGTTTGCATTTTGCATCATTCATAGCATGTGCATAGTAACAAAATTGTGCTTGAGCTTTCTCTCTTGTACTAAACTGATTTTTTTTTTTTTTTTTTTCCCAAACAAAGCCAGGTTGTTTTATTTTGTCTGCAAGTAAATCAAATTAAAGCTGTGCTAATGTTGTACTTTCCATACTTGTGAGGTACTGAGGTAGAAAAACACAATAGCTGCCTTGCCTTTATTAGAAGTATCTTAGCAGCGTGATGCCTTGGTGAGTATTTCCTAACTCTCCACATAGTGTACACCCTGTAGAAGGGATGCTGCTAATTCTCAGAAGATAAGTGCCTACTGTATTGCTCATTTACTCTACCAAAAGGCATTTTAGACCAGCATTCTTTAATTTCTAAAGAGTGGCATGTTCTCTGAAGTTGTGATTCAACTATAGCAATTAAGTAACAAAATGATGGCCCAGAATTATTCATCCTTGGCAAATAATAAGCTTTTCTTGGTGAGTGCTTCTACAAAAGTTCATTGCAAATTAGTCAGTCTGTTTAAAAAAAAAAAAAAATTTTTTTAAATCTCGTAGTTCTAATGGTTGCAAAAAACTTCTGTCAAATGTGAACTGAGTCTAAACTAATGCAGTCCTACCTTCTGAAGTGTGCAGCCAGCTCCAGTGATGATGATGAGTTTTGCCCAGATTCAGCGTTCTGAAAATGGAGAAGTTGTGTCAGTCTTCACTGCTTTTTGGTACCCTGCAGACAGCAATGAAATCTATAAGGATCAAGTCAGATTAAACTCCACTGGTGCCTTGGGTAGTTCTGAGCTATGAAGGTGGGAGATACTGGTGTTGGCTAAGGAAAAGGACCCAGAAGTGAGGTTGATGGGAGGAATTGTAAACACTTGCTTGGGAGAGAAGGTGATGGGGAGAAAGTATATATAAATTTCAGGGGGAGGAGTACGTAAAAAAGGCAAAGACACTGAGAAAAGCTGAGGGAAAGTTTACCACAAACAACAGAAGATGGAAGAGGTGCAAGGTTAGCAGTAAACTGTACTGGCTGAATAGTATTCACTGAATCCTAATCGGCTCTCACTGGTGTTTATCAAATAATCTAGAAATATTTTTTCTTGTATTTGGTCAGCACTGACTATGAGGTTTATTTTTATTAAATGTGTGTAGTATTATCCTGTCTTCCTATGCTGTATGGAGAGAGGTAATTAGCCATGTTAGAATGAATTAGGCAGAGAGCAGGATGGAGGTGTACCTTCAAGACTAACTGTATCAGAGATGCATACATTTTAATGAACAACAACTCCCTTTGCCAGATGGTAATTCTCTGATTCAGTTAGTCCAGTGATTCTCAACCTCATTAGAATCAAGACACCGTTTGGAACATGGTAGCTCTTAGATTTCATTTGTTTCTTGGTTATAGGAAAAAAACAGTAATTCTTCTGTTGCAAAGAACTCAGTGTGTTTTTGACACTATGGATTCCTATTTAAAATTATTGGGTTTATCTTGTGAGTCACAGGTAGGTGTTTGCACACTTGGTATTGCATAGCACCCTTAAAGGGGCCTTGATGCACTCCAGAGTGCCATAGTACCCTATTTGAGAACCACTGAGTTGTTTATTAGGTGGACCTTAAGCGTGTCTTATGCTGCATGGGTTGAATGGGGATATAAACCTTTTCCTTAGAACAGAAGGTAAACTGTTTTGTGTTGGGTTTTTTTTGTAAAGACTGAGTAAGCTTTTATTTATTTTGTTTTTTAAATTTATTCCTTCTAGGTATGCCCTGGTAGATTTTGGTTTGGCACAAGGAACCCCTGAGACAAAAATAGAGCTCCTCAAAACTGTCCAGTCTGAAGGCCAGCAGGGAAGTTGCTCACAAAATACACCCCATATAAAGATAGGAAGTGGGGTTTCTGTCAATATCACATCACCTAAACAGATAGCTCAACAGTCAGCCTCAAAATCATCAGATAAATGGTCCGGCTCACTTTCACAAATACAGATTAAACAAGGAAGAGAAGGAAAGGTTCTGAGTCTCTTTCATTTATATTGCTGTATAAGTTTTATTTTTAATGTACTACTTTCTCCAACAGGGGGAGATGTAATACTAGAACAGAACTTAACAGTTTTCAGTTCAAAATCTTCATGTAATGTGTGTGCACTTACACAATAGTTTAATATGTTGCATAAAAATTATACTTTTCACAAAAATTGAGCTACTTTCTCTACAGCAACCCTAGCTTTGTACATTACTGCACATCATTCAATGTCTCTTGCATCTAGGCTTGACATCAGTGGGTTTTCATGTAACATTGCATGCTGTGCACACCCAAAGAGGGTTTATTTAACATTTTAGTAACAGGCATCGTAGCATCATTCCCAGTCCCAGAAGAGTTTTTAGTCTGTTTTAGTTATATACCAGAATACAACTATTATACAAATGACCTTCAGGGCTGTCTTGGGGTACTTGTGAGAAATGATTTATTTTGTAAGTATGTTTACTGTTGTCTAGACTAAGTTTTCTTCAACTACAGTAAACTGATCCCTAAAAATGACTTGCATGCAGCTGCTTTTATTTTTAAGAGTGTGAAATGACATTAAAACTGACAGATTACAGCCCTGCAGTGTGTAAGATAGAATCCTTATTGTCCTTTTTGTTGGTATTATAGGAAGGGTCTGTGCACCATTCTATCCAGCGTTCTGTTTTTGGAGAGAGAAATTTCAATATTAATAGCTCTACACACCAGGAGAGCCCCACAGTGAAAGTAAGCAACACAGACCATTATTAAAACAATCAATTAAATATTTTGGTAGTTTAAATTATTTCAACACGTTTAACCCTAGAAACTCCTAACTGCTACATTCTATTACTTGTAGCATTAGAGATTACTGAACAGGATAGTAATTTTAGGAGAAATAAATACCTGTTAAATTGTACCCTAACCGTGTTTGTTCAGAAGTTGTTACTGTTATGATGCATCTGTCTCCCTAACTGATCTTATTTATGGTAATAGTTAAACATGCATGGGTAAAAAAACAGATTGAGAAATTATGCTAAAAGACTTGTGAAATTTAGTTTAGTTTCTCTAGTTTCACCAACTGCAGCATAAAAAACAAGTCTATTAAACATTTTGCTCTATTGTTTATAAAAATAGGTATAATGTCTAGTGAAAACTAGACATTAGGAAGAAAATTGGGTTTTGACCAATGTTGGTATTTAAACAGTAATAGTTTGAGCTATGAAATGGAATTAGATGTTAGTCTCTTGAAATATTATTTCATATAGTATTTTTCCACTCAAACTTCTGCATAGCTTTCTTTTTTTTAAAGAGGCGTGTTTGTCATTGAACTAATACCATTATCCTGGCAAATGCTTATTTGTTTTTGATACCACAAATTTACATGGTACATATTAATGAATCAGGTTTTTTCCCCCTGCAATGACTACTGATTTCCCAGGAAAATCACCAAATCCAGACGTCTTAAATCTGGCTATGTTTAATAGCCACTGGGATATTAGAAAGATTGGTCATCTGCTAGTACTGGCAACATGTTGCTGTTAATACTTTCGACATCCTTAGTATTTGGTTGCAGATTGGGTGAATGCATAAAGAAAGTTGTATTTAAAAATTTGTCACTTAAAAATGTAACATGCATCTTGCAGCTCATGAAGCAACCAAAGGTGATAGATGTTGCATCTAGAAAGTTAGCAGCAAAGAAGAAGCTAATTTCTACAAAAACAGCAAACAACGGTTTAGCCAGGAAAGGTGCCAGCAGCTGCCCATCTAACCTAACCTGTGACTGTTTTGCAACCGACAGAGTTTGCAGTATTTGCCTTTCAAGGTAATTTGCTTTGATATTGTAAAACTAACTACCGTGTTATCAAAGTTAGGCTATAAATTCAAGGCTTACTAGACAGCTGATTTAGGTAAGGGAAAGACTGCATTAGACTTGTGCATTGTGCAAGCATTAAAACATGCATGTTATTTTTAAGCTTACCCAAAGTTCTAAAGATCTTGTATGGCATTCTCTGCAGTTCTAAACTTCCTATTGCAGATAAATGCTATGTATAATTTAAATATCCCACACTCCAAGTCTCAAAGAAAAAAAAATCACTTGACTCTTTTCTTGCTCTAACACTTGTTGCCTAATAAAACTATAGGCCTATGCCAAACGCATGGGGTACTAGTGTGGAGAGATTCCTACTTTTAGGTATTTTTCTCCTAATTTCTTTGAGGTAAAAGAGCTTCTTAAAAGTTCTCTGCATTCTGAGAACCCTGAAAGACGTTTTTGATAAACCCTGTTCACATTTACAAGGCTTTGTTATCATAAATATACTGGTATATTTATATACCTATGTGTGTACATATAAATATACTGGTATATTTATGTTGTCATAAATATATTGCTAAAGCTATCCCAGCAACCCCTTACCTATTGTAGTTCTTTTACCAGTAAATCACAAACCTGTTTCTTAAAGAGAATATTTTATATCATGAAAAGGATCTCTTTGCAGGCATAAACTGCATCTACACTAAGGCTTTTGTTGGCACAGGTATGTCTGCTAGTAGTATGAAAAAATTCAAACTGAATTTCAAACTCAAAAAATTCAAATGTTGGCAAAAGCTGAAGGTAAAGCAAGCTTAATTTTTTTCCCAGAGACTTTTACTTATTTAAAGGTGGCTTGAAAATGGGGTTTTTGTATGTGTGGTTGTTTATACTTAGTCCTCAAAATTAAATTTAGTACTAAGAGGGGGAGAGAAGTTAAGGTTTTATATTTTTCTTCTAATTAGAGCACATGAAGTCAAGAGCCCTGATTAAGGAAACTAGAGGGATATTCCTCTTATGTTGGCCAAATAACTTGACATTTCACTTCAAATCCATTCACATGTGGTTAAGTTCCACTCAGATGAGCTATTTCTTGATTTTTCTAGCATTTCAAAAGTTCTGTTTTCACAGAGAATGTAGAATAAGGGGTTAAAATTATTCATTCAGAAAATAAAACTGATCACTGTAATGAGGGCAAGAGGTGATGAACTAAAGGTAAAACATTAAATTCCTGTGTCAGTGCCCTTGTTCATAAGAAAAACAAGTTTGCTTACCTGCAGTTTAACCTGAGGAAGGAAAGCATCCACTGTTATTTAAACACACTATAACACCATGCCTTTGGTTAATTTTAATTTTCCAAAGCATCCCTACGTACACACTTTTTAAATGGAAATCATGCTTCATCAAATTACACTGTAAAGTTCATTGTTAAAGTACGCAAGTTTAGGTCTATGTACTGTTATCTCACCCTAGCTACTATGTACACTCAGTGCATTTAACATGAATTGTTTAAAATTTTAATAGAGGGAATGAGAAACTGTTGACATCTAATTAGAGAAGTATGTTTTTAAATGTTTTTAGACATGCTTTGTAGAGAAGTGGTTAGCTGTTTTAGCCTGTAGTATCCATGACATTTTTCTGATCTATGTATTCTGTTATAATGTTTTTTTTTATTATTATACAGGCGTCAGCAAGTTGCCCCTAGGGCAGGTACACCTGGATTCAGAGCACCAGAAGTGTTAACTAAGTGCCCCACTCAAACAACAGGTACTACTTATATGACCAAAATCATAGACTTTTCCATAAAATCAAGTGATATGTACAAATGTGGAAGCCTTTTCTATTTACATGTGGAATTCATTTTATTGTCCCTTCCAACACTGTTGAAATGCTTCTGTTTTTTATTAAATGTTTATTG